GTGTGCTTACAGAGTTAACTCTGGCTGATGCTCTTCTCTGTTTACAAAAGGCTTTCCCATATGCCTATTCTACTTGTTTAACCAAATTTTATGTTGATTAGGTATGAGAGGATGTGCCAGGAAAGTTAGACCCAGTCATGTTGCATACTAGACTACATAAAACTTGAAAGTTTATCAGGAGATAGTATACTTATTTATCAGGAGATAGTACACTTACACTTGAGAAAAAGAAGCCAGAAAGTGCCTGTGGAATGCAACCCTGTGTTACTGATAGAAGGTTCACCCGCTAGAAGTTGTTGAGATATTCTCTGGTGAGATGTGGTTATTTAAAAAACTTGACAGCTGGTGAAAAATACTGTCTTTCCTTCTGTACCTTTAAGGCAGAAGATGGCCAACATTTTCTGTAAAGGGTCAGACAGTAAATATTTTAGGCTTTGTGCACCGTATGGTCTCTGTCTCAACTATTCAACTCTGTCATGGTGGCAGGAAGACAGCCAAAGACAATAGGTAAATGAATGGGTGTCATGTGTTCCAATAAAACTTTATTTACAATAACAGGCGGTGGGCTGGATTTGGTTCCTGGGCTGTAGCGTGCCAAGGACATGCTGCTTTCTAGTGCAGAGGTTGAAAAATAGTGTGTAGTCTGCACTAGTGTAGGAAGACAAAGAGAGAAGGGAAAGCCATAAGGAATCAGTGGAGGTGGAAGGAAGGGCAGAGGAGGGCGTGGGACAGAGGAAGGTAGGGAAGTGGAAACAAAGTAGAACATGAACACAGGGTGGTAAGAAAGGAGGTCACAGGAAACACTGTAGACCATGATCTCTTCTTGATGACACTGTCTGTGGTCAGAATGTTTATTTTGAAGCAATGGATGCCATACTAGATTGGAGTAAGTAAAATTTTAACCAGCTCAAGGGTATGATGTGAAATACTAATTATCACTTACTTTCCCCAGATTTAAGATTCAGGCACTATGTGTATCTTTTTACGTGGTAAGCATACCTGAATTTCTATCTACAACCCTACTACTTCTTCCTTAGTGTCCTGGTGGTAAAAACACAGCTAGTACCACATTTTGTGTGTGTATGTGTGTGTGTGTCTTTTCATTTGGAACATTAGGTCTGAAGGGATTTATAGCTGTGCATGATACAACACGCAGGTTCATGTTTTGAGAGTTGAACAGTTTTTCCAAAAATGACTAATGTAATCTCAGAGTTGATCTGTCCACCAGGAATAGCTTTTTTTGTGTTATGGTGGGAGTACAGAAAATTAGAAAACAGATTGGAGGCTTGTGAGTAAAGGCCAAGCAGAGGAATAGGAACACGGGTCTTCTGAATCACTTCAGTCTGGAACTCGAGTGTGAGGATAAAATAAATAGATATTTCATACCGTGTTTTGACTTCTTAGAAAGTTTCGTTTATTTTTCTCTCTCCACCTCTTGTTTCTTTTGTGTCTTATGGCATATCTGTTAGAAATATGTGCTTTCTGAAAGTATGTAATAGGGAAGAGAGAAAGCAAACTACTTTCCTAAACATCAGAATTTCAGAGTATGGTAATGGAGGTATGTTTTCTTTATTCTTTGTCCAAATATTATGAAATTGAACAGTTATATAGAACGTTGTAAAAATGTATGCAATTTGGCAAATGAGATTTATATTGTGAAATTGTATGAAAAAATTCGTTATAGGTTAAGTATGGACTGTTACCCATTTTGAAATAGAAAAACATTATTATATACATGTTATCATTCATAGCTATAAATACAGTGAAACGGGTATAGAATCTTAATTGAAGGATGAATAATGATGCACTATAACAGAATTAAAGACTGACTTTTGAAATCATAATTTTAGTTCGAAATTTGAAATTGTCATTTAATGTACAGACAGGTGAAAAAGGTGGTTTTCATCTTACTTAGTTCACACACTAAAATCTGTATTTTCAAAGGTGAGCCTCCTTCTGTTAGGGAAAAAAGTGATTTAATTATTCTAATATTGTTACTTCAGAATTCTTTTGACAGTAAAGAAGTTTATTTTAGATTCTCTCATTTGAAAGGAATCATTTTATATCCAATGGACAGTGTTTCCCGAGGAAATCTCACTTACCTCTGTTCTGATTTTGGTTACTTTGTTCTCAGGCTGCCTGTTCTATGTTTTTCATAAACAAATTGAATGCAGTACGGGGTGAATCTTTTTTCTTACTGCTCTGGGTTGAATCTCTTTCCCATTTATCCTGTTCACCCTCTGAAATTCAGGCTTGCTTTCTGCGCTCTTCTGAACAGTCTCATCTTTCTCCTTCATGTTTTTTCTGTTCCTTGTCACCTTCCCTTCCTGCTTCTTTGCTGCTGGTTGCAATTTTACTTGTCCTCTGTCACTGTTTTGTCTTCTCTCAATGTGCTGCTTTCACTCCCCGTACCCCTGACGATAAAAAAAATTCCTAGCTGATCCTTTTTTAAGGGTCAGAGAAAACTTCTAGAAATATTTGGAGAACATTTTGGATGCCTTCTCTCAAAGTTCTGGCTTAATTTACTCTTAAATCAACTCTTAAGATGTAGTAGAAATAATTGTGATATTATGTCTGTTATGTAGCACTCTCTCTTGATGGCACTGCCCAATCTCAACACCTTTACAATTAAATGAAAGTATTAACACATGCATATTCAAATAAAGTTGTAATTATGATGCCCATTATTCGGTTTAGCAAAACAACTGGATTTTGAGTCCCCCCCCCATTTAATATAAAGAACAATTTAATGTGGCAAATTAAATAATGTTGTAGTGAGAATGTTAATTTGATAAGAAGTCCCAGGTTTAACTGCCAAATGCCCCAGCTTCCTGTTGTTCAGTGAGTTTATTTAGAGACTATAAAATGTGGCTTACTGTTCCTGTATTTCAGGCTTCACAGTTGAAGTCTGGTGCCTGATAATCATCGGGTTCAAGGACCTCCAGAGCTGGAGCTGTGTTGTGGATTATGCCTCCATTGCTTATGGTCCTCCCTCCCCCTTTGCCCATATTAGCAATCTGCTTTTGTACTTTGACTTCCAGGATTTCCCTAGTGAATTTTGTCACAGAAAAAAGAGAATCATCAATATCGCAGTTAAACTTGACTTTCAAAGCTAATAGTATCTCATTTGGGGGCTCAAATTTAATAAATTTTCTTTGATTCTGGGTGAGTTTTTAAACATCAAACAATGAATTGGCCAGGGTGCAGTAAAATATTTAGATCTATTGACTATGGTTCAGAAGGGTAGAAGGCAAAAACACTAGTGGTTTGATGTTGATAAATTCTCAGTACCTTAATCCACATTAATGTTTTCTTTTATCTGAGTGTGCATTGGTGACCACAAAAAGCAGGAGAAGGTATCCATACATATAAAATATAAAACCTAAAGCAAATGTATTTGTAAAATAGGATTTATTTTGTTATGTTAAGTAAGTTAAAAGCATTCTCATCCTAACTGAGGACTCTGGAGAATGTTTGTTAGAGATAAAGAAACGTTCTGAATTGGGACTCCGGTGTGCATACAGTACTCACACCATTATAAAAATTGCATTACAGTGTATGTTTTATAGCATACATTTGACATTCACTTATTGACAGAGCTACTTCTGCTCAACTTGGGAGTATAAAGATTTTTATAAGCGTAGATTAGCATGAACAATTAAAGATGGCATCAAATGTTTGTGTGTGTTTGCTGGTTTAAGGAAACTGTATGCAGTGTGATAGTTCATTCATAAAATAAGAAATAATTCAAACAGGTTTTGGAAGCTTCCCAAGTCGAATAGAAAAGCAAAGGAGAGATTTCCTATCTTATATTGTTGCCAAGTTACATTTGAAGTTGCTCAGGGAAAAGTGGGGATATAGACAAATATGTTTGAGCAATTAGTGCTATTTTTTATAGTTCTCCCATTCTTGACCGTTACTACTTCAGCAAAAACACTTTTGACCCTGTGGCTTTAAGCTAGTTGCATAATATTTATCCAATATATGGTAGCAAAGAGAGACATTTTTAAAACAAAGTCAGGCGTAAGGAAAGTTAGAAAATATACCTACATATGAAATCTACTATCGTTAAACTATATAATTAAAAACGAAAGCTCACCGATCTTAGAAAAACTAGGCTGTGAAAATCTTAGAGCTCTTACTAAGTTTGGAAATTAAGGATGAAAACAGATCTGTTTCTGAGCATTTTCTTTTTATCTACGTGTAGTATATGGGGGCGTAGTTTCTCTTTTGTCCAGAAGGTGGCAGTGTAATATCAACTGCCTGTGATCCCTATACTGGCTAGAGAATTGGTATTTCTCCCGTATCTGTGATATGTTTGTATTGTTACCTTTCCGAATACTTAAAATATAGTACAAATACCACTGCTTTTATTCGTTATCTTATTTAGAAGTTGCGTGACTGAGTTGGTTTATGTGTATTTAATCGTTAAGACTCAAGTTTAGTCAGAAGGAAATGGGCAAATAAACCTCTGCCTGGTATATTTTTAAGTCTCCTTGTGTGTTGAGTCTATTTGTTTTTATTCCAGGGTACATATTATTGAAGTTTTCTTTTCAAAGACTAGCACCTAATAACTATCTTGTCTAATATATATCAGTTAATACCAGTTAAATGAAACATGCTATTAAGAAAGTGACAGTAATTAGGAGATCGCTGTTTGTTTTTGATTTTGTGGGTATTTTTTTTCCTTCTTTCTTTTTTTCTTTTGAGGGTGGAACAGTGAAAAAATAATTCAAAACCTCTTGATCAGAAGAGTTCCAGTGACTCTTCTTCCCTCCCTCATTTCAAGCAGGAGGATGCTTTTTCTTCTTAACATTCTCCCCCAGCACTCTGAATTAGAGATTTATTTGCAACGAAAAATCAATTAGTCCTAAATTTATTCATGGATTTCAGGTCCAGCGATCAATGCAAGTCCACTCAGTGGGCTCAAGGGGACCCAGTTCATCCCAGTTAATGTGTCTGAAGGGGAATTACCATTGATGCTGTTTTTTTCCCTTTAGGTCAGAGATCAGATCTCGCTGTCACGGACTGCGGCAAGTAGGAATGACTTCACCCTGCAGCTACCCAGACTGCACCTGGAGACCTTTGCGATGGAGGGGCTCAAGGGCGGGCCAGAGGTGGTAGCATGCCAGGTTAGAGTCTAAATAACATTGTTTGCTCCTGAGACGTGTGGAAAAATAAATTGCACTAACTGGAGAGAATGAAAGCCTCCAAGTATTGTGAATAACCCAAAGGAGATGCAAATAATTTCTCTTAATTTTTCTTCCACCGTGGAACACTATTTCTCAAATAATTGTTTTTCTTTTTTTTCTCTCACAGTCTCGAAATAGCCTATTAAATAATCCAGAAAAGTTATTTATTTTTTTTTACCAAGGAAAAATACGTGTTTTATAGCTGAGTACAGTATGTAAAGAACATGCTTTCCTGTCAGCAGAGGACAATAAGACACTAGGCTGTTATCTCTCTAAGCTCGTCTCAATTTGTAGCTCTTATTGTTTTAAAATAAATCACTTTTGGTAAAATTATCAAGAGAGATATTTGAAAAATTTCAATGTTAATTCCAGAGTAGAGCCAACATTTCTTATGTGGCAATGTAATGTAAGCAACTGTGGAACCAAACTGTACTTGGCATTGAAGAGCATTTATTTGCCCTTAATTTTTAGTTTTAACAGACAGCGTGATATGTGCAAACTGGGTTATTTCATTTATAAAACTCCCAAGTACCAAATTGTGAAACCCCAAAGTAGCTTTAAGATAAACTTAATAAAGAAAATCTTTTCAAAAATGTACTCATTTTCAGATGCTGCAGATTCTTTGTAATCGAGGCTCCTACTGGGTTATTGTGAGCATTTTTTTTTCCTTAGGTTTAAGACAATTTTTTAATTGGACAAAACAAAATTCGATATGTGCTTTATTCACCTTTTAATGCCCAATGCCTTTATTAGAGAAACCTATCAACATCATGTAAACTGTAGGAAGCCTGATATTTCAAAAGAGCTTGTTCTGATTCAATAGCAGTCCAGATTTTTCAGTGTATCTAAAAGAGAAATATCTCCTAAAACTCAGTTTCTGTTTCACATTTTGAGGTTTAAAGTAAACTTCATCATTCTTTAGTTTATGACCCTGTGAAATTTTAATTTTGTACAAAATTAATGTCAGTGCAAGTGGGGCTATGTTAATTTTTTTCTACTTGCTCCATACCCTAATTTAATTTGTTATTAGTACCCAAATGAATGCTGTACAAAGAAAGAATACTCATTTCTCTCATTAGATTATCCACTAATGTATTTAAAATAAATATGTGATGTAAAACTCAGCATAAAATATTTTTATTGTCAGTTACAGGCTAGAATACTGTACTGTTATTTAGTACAAGATTAAGATGTACATTTTAAATTTGATTACCATTATTTATGAATTCATTGTAACCACAAATACAATGCAATCTGAGATTTTTCTAGTGACTGTAAAATAATCCTTTACTTGGTTATCTTGATTCAGAATCTCAGAGGGCTTAGTACTCGTCATAATTCACAAATAAAGACTTCCCCCAAACCATGGATTTGGGTGATTTGGAAAGAGACTGATCCTCAGAATGCCATATTTTGGCGGCAAAGCACGAGCTCTCTTTGGTCCTGACGTCAGTGAATAGCAAGAAGGAAATGGAGAGACGTCTATTTCAAACTGCTGTCTTTCCAAGTTCTAATAAAAATACTTCTGTGCATCTCTAATACCTAAACACTTGGGCACATTTTGCACTGACATGTTGTGATGTACACTGCAGGTTAGTTGTCCATATTGTCCTTTAGTATTGCATGCAGAGAAGAACACGTGATTTGGATCATAATAGTGTTTTTTTACACAGACACACAGACACGGACAGACACGCAGACACACACACAGAATTGGTGATAGGCTTTGGAGTACTCAGAGAAGAAAGGCTCTGTAGTGTCAATGACCTTAATTTTAATAAGAATAGCTACCATTTCAGTGAGCATTTACTATGAAGGAGGTATCCTGCTTAGCTCTTTAAATATGTCACGTTTAACTTTCACAATGGACCTGTCCGAAATGGCGTTATATGTCAAATGACAGATGGCATCGTTTCCATTTTATAACTGAAAAACAGCAACTACAACAGGGACCTCTCCTCAGATCAACAGCAAGTAAGTGCCAGGGCCCAGAGCTGAATTCAAGCAGAGCTGTGTTTGACTGCACAGCCTGAACTGGGAAAGTCTGATACTAGAAGACAATCTAGACACCGTGTTAAATGGTAGTGTACGGCCTTTGAGATGTATAGTGGGATTTTCCTTCCATCTGCAAAATACACATTATGTCTCTGTGTAAGATGCAGGTCATGGCTTATGCTGTGTTGTGGACAAATTCACAGGTAAAAAATTTTGTTTCCATGTGACAGGCTAATGTTAGGGAACACTACTTTCCCCCTTTTTGCAGTCTATAAATATGTATAGTTATGCTCAGTGGGACTCTGTATTTAGGAATTCAGTATTTGTTTCACTTTGTAGTCTGTGCACCTAAGTGGACTGTTTAGAGAGCGCATGTCCTTTGATTATGTTGAGGAGAGAGTCGCTGTGTGGGACATGGCAGGGGATGACCATTTGGCCAACCAAGGCCACCATCATCTGGAGCCATGGGAGCTGCCACTGTCCGTCTTTCCCAGCATGGAAAGCTTGGTTACAGGTCTACCGCTGGATGGAGGAAGAACCGTGAGCATGCGTGAAAGGGCGAAGAGAATCACCCTTTCTCTCCAGACCTGGAAGCCCATGTGACTGGTGCGCTCCTACAGCAGAAAACCCAGTTCAGAAAAATTGTAGTCTCTGAGCTCTGCTAGTGTTTAGTTTCAGTTCTCTCGGAAAAGCGTAGTCTTACCAATTTCTTGGGCTTGGAGGAGGACTGAACGAGGCAATGCATGTAAGATAGAGAACACAGTGCCTAGCAGGAAGAGAGGGCTGTTAGGATTGCATGCGTAATGGGGCCCTTGTCAAGATGAAGTTTGCAACAGAAGTTTGTTTTCATTACTTTTAAGGGTGTGTGTGTGTGTGTGTGTGTGTTTATTTTGAGGAATGGTTATTTAGGATGTTTTTCTCTGTATCTTTCCATTTGGTTCTTTTATTCTTCCTTGTTTACTGTTTCTTCCAAAGCTTTAAATAATTTTGATGAAGAGCCACATTAGTTCCCTATTTACTTCTTCATGTTACTTGATGTTCCAGTGAGGCCACGTCTCCAATGAAACCCTTTGTCTAAGCTCCTTTGGCCGGTCCGGAACTATTATTACCTGTGCTTGTATCTCCCAAATATTGCATATTAGTCTACTAGAAAAAAATTAAAACACCTAGATTAGACAAGTTAGCTTTAGCTGAAAAGTCCAGTACAACATGAACGCAGAGAACTTTTTTGCAAAAAATATTCTGCCCACATTTTATAAAGGTAGTACCTGTTATCGTTATCTTACACTGCGAATTGTTTTTCCCCCAATGAGACGGTTATGCGATGCATTTAATATCCAGCAGTTATTAGCAGGTATGTGATAAATGTTTGCGTCTCTACCCCCATTCAATAACAAGCAACAAAGAGCAATATCAAGAGTTAATATTTGCTGAGTACTTTTCCTGTACCAGTTACTTCGCTAAGCACTTTACATTTACTATCTCCCCTCATCCCCACAACAGCCATATGAATAAGTGCTCTGATTTTATCTATTTTATAAAGGAAGGAGCTAATGTTTATTGAGATTCAGTAAATTGCTAAAGATTACCTATCCAGTGAATAGGGTCCATTCATGCCTTTAATCTTGCCTGTCTTTTGTAAACCATGGTGTGTGTGTGTGTGTGTGTGTGTGTGTGTGTGTGTGTGTGCGTGCGCGCGCGCATGCGCGCACACTTTAAGATGGTCAAGAGGGGCAAAGGTAGGGGGTGTCTGTAGAATACAGTTTCTTTGGTGAGGACATAGTGGAGAGAACAGAAATCCAGAAGAAGCCTAACTGGGCAGGTTACTTACAGTGTGTACTTCAACCTCTTCATCTGTGACACAGAGATCACAGAAGTCTGCAAATCATTGTGTCGCTGGGATGATTCAATGAGTCAACACATCTAAAGTTCTCCGAGTGACAGGACATTGTAAACACTCGGTGTCTGTTAGCTGTCCATGGACAGGAACTCCTCACTGTTTTGTTCACTGTGGCATGATTTTTTTTTTTTGGATAAAAAATAAGTGGAATGGTTGCATCTAAGGTTATGCCCCTTCTCAGGCTTTGATACACATTCCCTACTTTTCCCTGGAAAAGACTTCCAGGTTACCCGAAGTGACTGACTTCTCTTAGCCCTTTAGTTTCCTCCTTACTTAAAGTATGGGTCTTTATTTTCCATTACTAAGGGGAAGTGTTATCTTCTTACCATTTAGATCTTCCCTTTCAGATGGCCATTCTTAGCCGGTTCTTAATTTACAGAGTTCAGCCCAAGAGGCTCCATGGGAAGGTAGAGGGAGCATATTGCATGACACACTGTTTGTTTTGCAGATACTGTTTTTCATTTATTTCTGGGTGCATAATGCTGCTTTGAATGTTGGAGATTATTAGAAATCTGACCTTTTTTGGTAAGTGGGATCATTTTAGTAATAAGGTATCAAAAAGGTTTGGAGGTTTATCTAAAGTAGTTGTATTTATGAGAGTTTGTGCGACTCTCTTTAAATTCTAAAATCAAAACATCTTTTAAGTTAAAAAACATAAAATGATTTTAGACTTAGGTTGTGGTATCAAATAGAATGTTGAAATGCTACCTTCTTCAAAGGTTAGAAGGTACTGTCCAGAGAAGAGAAGAGCTGTTAGGGAAAGACAATTAGCTGGAAAAATCATATAGTTCATCTGAGAATAAATGCATTTTGATGAAAAGTGCCACTCTCCATCTCACCTATCTGCTTGAGGGCTGTAGTCTATAGTTCCACAGAATATGAATTGTGCCAACGAAGCCTTTGAATGACCTAGGTTTGAGGCCTAACTTGCAGATGAATGTAAGAATTAGTGTGTCTACTTTTTCTGTTGATACCAGGGAGAGTAAATGGCATTTTCTGAGGTAGTTGTAAGAATATTGTCTGAGGTGAGTTGTCAGAATAACAT